AACGCCCCGCCGCATGTACAGCCGGAGCTCCGCAATGCCCCGCCTGATGTACAGCCGGAGCTCCGCAACGCCCCGCCGCAGGTACAGCCGGAGCTCCGCAACGCCCCGCCGCATGTACAGCCGGAGCTCCGCAATGTCCCGCCCGATGTACAGCCGGAGCTCCGCAATGCCCCGCCGCAGGTACAGCCGGAGCTCCGCAATGCCCCGCCGCATGTACAGCCGGAGCTCCGCAATGCCCCGCCGCATGTACAGCGGAGCCCGTATGGCAGGCAGACAGTGGGAGGGCCATGCGTGTGTGCTGACCAACTTAAGGTGCAGCAGGACAGTGGGAGGGAGAATCTGAGGCTGGGAAGTCTGTCTAGCTGCGTGGTCCCGAGCAGGCTGCAGAGCCCCTGAACCTGACTTCCCCCCAGCAGGCTGAGAACTTCAGGAAGTTCAAAGCCAAGGCTAATGTGGGGATACTGGATCTGACATCAGGGCCCGACACCCAGACCCTGGCCTCTTTACTGCCAGGACCTAGGTTGAGCAGGAAGGCTATGGAGCAGACACTGAAACCCCACCAACACCCCCGTTCCACTCCAGCCAGTGGTCTATGCCCAACCCCAACCCAACCCTGTCTAGAGCTGTCTGGAGCCGACGGGCTGGTAAAACGGCACGTCCTTTGCTGGAAAAAGAAACAAAAACCTGGGAGCGTGTTCCCATCCTGAAAGTCACCAGGAGCAGGGAGGCAGCGGGTGTCTGCAGGTGCTCCAGGAAGAAACCTGCTCTCAGCTGGGTCAGGGCTGGGAGGCGCGGGGTGCCCCCAACAGCCCCTCCAAACTGGGCAAAAACACACTGCCAGGATCGCCCCTGCCTGAAAAGCTGCCCTATTTCCACTGGGCAGCCCCCCACCCCTACCCCCGATCCCTGGCAGACACAGGAGCCTTATCTAAACAACACGGCCGCCATTTGTAAAGGGTCAGCAAGGGCTCCCAGCAGCCAGGCGGCTCCTCCCAAGGTGAGGTGTGTGTGCCCGGCCCTCCTCACCCCACCCCCTGCACGGCAGTGCCACTCAAGGTGGGCGGTTGGCACTGCTCAGCGAGACCCGGGTAGGGACCCGATCACAGGCCTCTCAGCCCCACGGACCCTCCGGGCAGGGCCCCCCAGGCCCACCTTGGATGCCGCCCAGTCCATCCAGCCTTCAGCACAGGGGTTCACGTTGATGAGCACCAGGCCCTCCACCATCTCAGGGTTGTTCAACTGCAAGACAGACGTGAGGTCAGAGAGGAGGGCAAGCTGAAGATGGGGAGAGGACCCAGGCAAGGGCCCCAGGGCCCAGGGGAGCAGGCTGCTCACATCTCCAACCCTACTCCCAGAACTGAGGTCCCAGCTCAGCAGACGTGGGACTGGGTCCCCGAGAGAGCAGAGAGAGGAAGCCAAGAAGCAGAGATAGTGTGGGCACTTCGCAGACCTGCCTCGGGCAATTCATACCACCCGGCCCTCAGTTTCCCCAGCGGTCAAATGCATACAGACCAACTACCGCATAAGCCAGGTGGGGCTCTCTGCTACCTCATTACTTCCAAGGGGTCATCTCTCCACCCCCTTCTCCACCCCTGTGTATACACACAACTAAGATACAGCTTTCCTCTCTGCTCAGGGCCCAGATAACCAGACTAATCTGTGTGCATGTTAGCATTTCTATCTCTAGCAAAGCCCAGCAAATTCCAGGCACAGTAAAAATGGCTGGCAAATGAGCATGTGACATTTGAACACAGTCTCTGGGAAGAAGGGGCCCAGCGCACTAACTGGCACCCACAGTAGTGCCAGAGGCACCTGTCAGGACGGCACCAGCATCTCTGGCTCTAATTCAGCGTCCGACAGGACCCCAGAGACCCCTGACCACAAGGCCACCGCCCCGAGGTGCCCGTGAGGGGTCCTGCTTACGGGAGGGCCTGGCCACGGCCATCAAGAGGTCAAAGACGCAGGAATGTGCTGCGTGTGTTGTCTCAGTGAGGGAGAAAGAAAAGCTGCCCACATGCACACGGATGCAGACACGTGCAAACACAAGCGGGTGCCTGGGACAGAGACACAGGTGCCCCGCCGGCCCCCAAAACCTGAACACTGGCCCCCCCGGGGATGTGGAAGTTGGGCTCGTCGCTGTTTCCTTTTGCATTTATTGATGCGCTTCCCCTTTCCTTCCTTCCTCTTGAGTGAATCTGATTTAAAAGATAACGTTTTAAATGCTGAGGAACTCACAGCGAATCGGGTGAGGATGTAGGCGCCTGCTCCAGTCCCCATGCCAATAACGCTTTTCAGTCTAGAAGCAAAAGGAAGACTCCATGTCCCAGAGGCTCGTGCTCAAGGCCTCCCCGCCCGCCGCACCCCCAAGGAGCCGAGTCTCCCGCGCGGCCCGGCTGGACGAGGCTGGGCCAGCCGCGGTGACGCCCCAGGAAGGAGGACCCCGCATCGGGCTTTATGGCGTGACAGATGGCGGGTCCTCCCCTGCCTTCCGCACGGTGCCCCCAGGCTCTGACAGACCCACCACCGGACACTGCCTTCCAGTGCTCGAGCTTTCTTTGGATTCTGACATTTGGAATAATGCAAATAAACTGGGCAGGACATCCCACGTATTATCCCCACGTGGAAGGCTCACGTAGGAAGAAAATGAGACCTGGCGAGAGCCAAGCAGGGTTGAGGAGATGCAGAACTTTCCAGAAGGTCCCAGTGGGAAGAGAAAGCATGAGTGCAGAGGTCAGGACTGGAGGGGTACAGAGTGGGGACTAGGTGCCTTCAGGGGAAGGGTCCACTCAGGAGAGAGCCCCCCTCGGGCCCACTGAGGAGAGAGCTCCCCTCGGGCCCACTGAGGAGAGCGCCCCTCGGGCCCACTGAGGAGAGCGCCCCCGTGGCGGGGCAGGCTGGATAAGGAGGCAGTGTGGACACAGTGCGTACACAGGTGACCAGCTACTGTCTTCCCGATTTTTCATTCAGCTACATGGCAGTGGTCAGGCCGGTCAAAGCCAAAGGAGAGGCAGGAGCCAGAAGCGCCCTCCCTGCCGGCCGGAGCGGTAGGGGTCCCGTCTTACCCAAACTGCTGAAGGACGCCGGGCAGCATCATGGCCAGCTGGTCCATGGAGGGGTACATGTACCTGGGGAGAAAGCAGAAGTCAGTGCCACCTGGGGCTCCGGGGCCTGGGGCACACAACAGGGACGCTGGAAGGGCAGGACGGCCGGGGAAACCAGCTGCCCGTGCCGCTCTCGTCCGCGCCCAGAAGCCTGTTCCCCTGGGCCAGGACTCGCTCCAGGACCGAGCTCCTCCTCACACTCTGCAAAGTGCCCTTTGACCGGCTTGCACTCTGCCCCAGGTCCCATAACTTCTGATGAGCAGTATAAGCTCATCTAATCCTCCCAATAACTTTATGAGGTCGCTATTGATCTTCCCCGGGACGAAGATTAGGAATGTCACTGAGGCTGAGAGATAAGAGCCGAGACAGCTCATGTAGCTCTGGGGATTTCTGGGCTCCGCTCTCACTCACAGCCTCGGTCTCCTGGCAGCTGGTCTGTGAAGCGTCTCTGCCTCTCGGACGTCCCTGCCTGCTCATCTCCTCGCCCCCAGGAATGCTCTGGGGAGGCTCACGCAGCTTCGGGAAATGGGTACCCCGAGGTCCCAGCCTGGCCCACAGGAAGCACTTCCTCTGCTTCCCCTCAATTTTCTAGCTCTTTCTCTTAATTCTTTAGTCTTGGCAAGGTTGAGGAGAGGGTATGGGGCAGCGGCCTGGGGCGCAGGTGATGGGGAGTTTAACGGGGACAGAGCTTCAGCTGAGGGTGAGGAAGCAGCCGGGGACGGTGGCGGAGAGGGCCACATAGGCTGACAGCGGGCAGTCATAGCCAGAAACGGGGCCACGGAGCCACATGGGCTGGTGGCCAAGGTCATGTGTAGCAATGGTTAAAATTGTAAATGTTACGCAGATCTTCCTCAGTTTACAATGGGGTCACATCTGGATAACCCCCTCATAAAGGGGAAACGTGGCAACTCTCAGGAGCTGACCCACGAGCGTCCTCCCGACAGAGAACAGCCTCCACTTTCCACTGTCCAGTCCAGAACCCCCGAGTCGGCCATGGTGAGGCAGGCACTATCTGTACATGTTCTGTAGTGAAAACGTCAGACGCAAGCAGAATTCTGCTCCCCCCCGCCCCGACCCCCACCACGCCTTCCAGGCCCCCTCACCCCGCAGGGAAGGACGCAGCGCCATCCTGCTGGCCGGGAGCATCCACGTGGCAGACGGCAAAGTGCTGGGTGATCTCCTGCATGTCCTCTGAATTGAAGAGCGGGTTGTAGCAGGTTTTGTCTGGGGAACAGCAGGGGAGAGGAGAAGAAGCCGTGAGGAGGGAACCCAGCCCCGCCGGCTGTGTGGGCTTCATTCTGTTTGTGTACTCCTGCCACTCGGAGGGAAGGGACTCACAAGAAAGAAGGCCGTTCCCAGCCCGCTTTCTCTTGTGACAAAAGACAGTAACCCGTGGGGCCCAGGGCGGTGTGGAGCGGGAGGTGGTCAGGGAGCGGTGGCAGACGCTGGCGGGCGGCCGTAAACAACACATAGGCACCGGGAAGGGGTCCCACGATGGCCCTAGTGGGTTGGGGGGCTGCTACATAGATTCTCTGTCCTTGGGTCTCCTGAACCCCAGGGATACCAGTGGGGACACAGGCGAGGGGTCCTTGAACGAGACGAGCCCAGTAGATCAAGCACAGACCCTCGCACTAATTCTGGGGCTCTGGTTACGTCTCCGATAGCCAAGATCTAAGGCAAAGATGGCCAGCTGACACCAGTCCTCTTCCTCGTTCTCCTTACGCTCCGGGTTGGGCTACATTTCCCAGCCTCCCGTGTGCTTAGACAAGGCCCCTAGCACGTAGCACAGACCATTTCCTGCTGACACCATTTCATTCCTCTTAAGTTTCTCTCTTTTCTGTCATCTGCCTGCCTGGTGGATGAGAAGAGCCAGCAGAAGCCTCTGAGGCCCCTGGGAGTGAGGAGCCACAGATGGAAGGATCCTGGGCCCCTGAGTCACTGCGTGGAAGGTGCTCCACAGAACGCCCACTAAACTGTCACATAGTGAGAAGCAAAGGTGCTAAGCTGAAGAGGCCTTCCGTTACAGCAGTTAGGCTATTACAAGTGAAAATGAGCCTTCCTGACACGGGCAGCATCGCCAGCCAGGGGTAACTCCGAGTCCCGTCAGAGGCGAGTGAGGTGAGGTAAGGTAGGCTGATGG